GTCAATATCACCAACCCGACTGTGTCGACACGCTTTGCCCTCACAAAGTGCCACTGACCCACATGCATAAATGAATCAGTAGAACCTTTTAGTTGTATGCCTATTCATCCGACTGCAATCTGGCAATGTCAGTGGTATTATTTAAGTAGAAGCAGGTGCAGTAGCTACTGGGCGGAGGTGTTTACTCTTCGCTTCTCCTCATTATCAACTGCATGCCTGAACTGCCATTCGCTTTGTCATAAATGGCGTACACAAGCAGCTTTTCCATTTTCATGAAAGTTGGAGAAAGATTAATTGCCCTAGCCAATACCCTATGGCAGTAGTGATGACAATTGTTGTTATAGTTGTGGTGGTAGTGGAGGACTGTAGATCCCATAAACAAACGGAATTGGTGTAAGCCACTGGATTGGGGGTAGACAGAATAGGACCAGTCTGGGGTTAAAGTAGGAACCAACACAGGTTAGCTTGAATTTTAATTGTTTATTTCTTCCTCATTCACAGCGAATTGCTAGCGATACTTGAGTCCATGTAAGTGGTCTTCAAGCATTGAGGGCATAAAGGACATCATCATTAAATAATTGCGCCCACCCTTCCCACAATGTTAGACAGACGCACACGCACAAGGAGAAACTAACATTTTTCATTTTTGAGTAGAAACCACAACTACATGGCCGAGTAGTCGGGTACGAAGTGGTCTTTGGTGGGACGCGGTAGTTGCCATGCCATTCCAAACGAAGATTCCATCTTCTAAGCCAATGTGTAATTTGTTGTCTCGGGACGATGCCACACAGATAGAATGTGTCACTTCTCCCATGCTGTTTGTTGATGACGATACCAGTGATTGGGCCATGCGGTAGACTGGATTTCGATCCAAGCATTCAACAGGCAATGCAGAGACAGTGATCCTTAGCTGTCGCCTTAACTCACGACTTGACGTTTGCTGGAGCCTGACCTCCACCTTTGCCCCAGTCACCATCGCAGACACAGTTTCACATGTGAAAGTGCTGGACAATGAATTGAGTGATTGGGAAGCCGTTGCAGGCGTCGAGAGGACTTCAAACGGGTCTCCAGACCACGCCTATACCTCGATGGCACCACCTGCTTCGTAATGATGAATCAAAGCCTAGTGGCTGGTTGAAAGTGTACATAAGCAAAAATTTGGCATCTACACTTCCTTGGTAGATGAACATGATAAATTTGAAGCTAGGACATTGGTTTACAAAATTAGGACAAACAATTTGACACAATGACCTGAATGACATGAATGGCGTAAGGATGCTGCTCTTACCATCGTAACTGACCTGATTTGACTAACGATGGGACGACAGTGAGTGAGATGGTTGGTTGAACCGGATGTCACATGTAAAGGAACGACATCATGCACGAATACATGAGCATATCCACACACTAAGTACTGACATGTAAGTCAGCTAAAG